CTACATTGTTAACTTTCATTTTTTTCATCAATTTGTGAATATTGAGACGTTCTTTTCTTGTATAAACTTATGTTAACCATTAAATTTACATCACACAAAAGAAAATCATAAAATTATTATGGATAAAGTATATCAATCATACATAGACTACAATAAAGAGTAGACTAAATCGATGAAAAAATGGCCACTAAAATCTCGAATTGACGGAAAACCCTAATCCGCTAAAAAAACCCAAATTATTACAACCTAACTATAATCCAAAATTATTATAACCTAACTAACTATAATATTATATACTAAAATTAAAATTGTTGGTTAACATTTTATAATTATTTTATTATACAAACAATAACAAATCCACAATATTTTATAATATCATCTAATTTAAAATGTATTATTGACAACTGTAAGAAAAATAGTACATTACATGATTTATAATACAAAAATTAATAAATAAAATAAAAATTTGGTTATCAATATAGAAATTATTTGAATGCGTATCAATTTTCGAAATGACACTTCAATTTTTCAAAATTTTAATTTTTTAGATTCTAGAATAATTTAGTAAAAAAGATTGTTAATAGAAAGATAGAATTTCAAATGGAATAAAAATTTTTTTAACAACATTATTTTCGGCTTATTTTTAATTTTTTCCACAACAACGATAGCATATTACATGATTTATAATGCAAAAATTAATCAATAAAATAAAAATTTGGTTATCAATATAAAAATTATTTGAATGCATACCAATTTTGGAAACAACACTTTAATTTTTCAAAAATTTAATTTTTTAGATTCTAGAATAAATTTAGTAAAAAAGATTGTTAATAGAAGGAGAGAATTTCAAATGGAATAAATTTTTTTTTTAACAACATTATTTTCTGCTTATTTTTTATTTTTTTTACAACAAAAATAAAATAATGTAGCGCGTCCGAGCTGGGGTTCGAACCTGAGATGTCCTTCAACTAAGAGGAAGTGATAACCATAAAGCCACACCGTGGCAAGTGTATTAACTTTCCATAGTAATGATATTTATTCAACGTCTATTTTAATTTAATGCACCTTGTGGGAATTATCCCACATCCAAGAATGAGTATCAAAATTAGTGATATAAATAGTTTCGTTGTACCTCATTAAACGCACGCGTGAAAACGCGGGGCTGCGATGTTGTGGGATTGAAAGCTTGCCACGTGTGACTGAGAAGGGTTGAAGGCTTGCCATGTGTGACTGAGAACTGGTAAAATGTGACGTCATGTGACTAGTTCTCCCCGGTTTATGACATCGTTTAGACGATTTATTGTTCAGAACGTTCTGATCTAGAACCGGGCGGTTCCCGATTTTGCAAAGTAATCGGCACAGGGATACTGATTCCCGTGCCGACTCGGGCGAGTCCGTTGCGACTCACCGATTTTTAATTTACTGGTCTGAAGTCCTTTAAGTCCGCAGCCCCTTCAATCTTAAAGCAAAAAGGCTATAAAAATGGAAATCATCCCATTATGGATCACCCCCCCTAGAAAAATTCGAAGAAAAAAGCTAGTATATCTGGGGGGCTAGTGTGTCCAAAATTTGTTTGAAAAGAGCCACATCGACACCATCCACTCTTGAGGATACTGCCTTTTGAATTTCTGAGACTAGAAAAGCCCTTTCTAGCCAAGAGGCAAGTTCTTTGAAGATGGTATAAGGCCTTTCTAGTCAAGAGGCAGGTTCTTCCAAGATGGAATAGAACTGGATATTGTTAACAATCTATCTTAGATGTCATAGATGGAAGTGCTGTCTTGGATGGATCATTGATTGTACATAGTGGAAATCCACTGTTGTTCATAGATGAAAGTGCTGTCTGAGATGGATCATTGATTGTACATAGTGGAAATCCACTGCTGTTCATGGTCCTAATCACCCAAATCTCATGGAAGACTTTTGGACAGCAGCCATCCCCTGGTGTGTCGATGGTGACTTCAGTCTAGGTTTGGTGGAGAAGAGGTTCTGGAAGGAGAGGACAATCACTCTCTGTACTTCTGTTCGCTCCTATACTTTGCAACGTTCATGAATTATTTGGGTGAACTACTTCAATCTGGATCTTTGGAACCCATAAAGCTCTTCCTGTTTCAATACTTTATGGAACTTACAGTTGGCCTCCACTCTCAGACTTCTTTCCTCCTGAGATAGAGTATCAATTTCTCAAATAGAGTTGTTCCTTCTTCAGAGTGGATGTTACGGAACAGGTGGTACACCATTGTTTAAGACATTCCATAAGCATTCTGAAGTTTCTTTGAAATTTTGTATCCAGCCGACTCATAGACCAAGAAAGTAAACCACCAATGGTATGATTCATCTAGCCAAGATAGTTCAAACATGAAGGGTATCGGACCCCCAGTTGTCTCAGGGGCCAGAAGTATAGGCCACACGATCTTAAGTGGACTTGGAAAGGGTTTTGGAGTGCACGCCGTAGCAACTCTCTTCCCAATCTGGAGAGAAAGGTGGGGTTCTGGGCTTGGTTAGACCAAGTGACAGAGGCCCCTACAAGGACACAATGCCAACAAACAAAAAGTGAAAAACCTTGTATACTTGCCGTGATGCTGCCATTTGTGTTCTTCTAGTGGGTCCATTCAGTGACATTGAAGTCACCACCAACACACCAGGGGAATGGCTCCAAGCTCCGAGGCCAAACCAAATTCAGCGCACAAATTTTCCCTGAAATTTGGGTGATTAGGACCGTAAATAGCAGTGAATTATTGTCAATGATCTGTCTAAGTTAGACTGTTACTGAGTAGGCCCCTAAGCTGAGACCTGTTTTATTAAGGGCTCTAGGGCCACACATGACTCGATGCCATGCCAGTCCCCTTGAACTGGAAGGGCCTCACAATGACAGGACCTACAGCTCCACATACTAAAGATGAACTGAGGGCTTGGACTTGGTTTCATTCACCGACAGGATGTCAGGACCAAAAGACATGGCATAGAAAAACATTGCTTGTGTTCTTGTTTGAGTTCCATAACCCTCCAAACAAGGTTAAAAAAAATTCCCACGGCATCTAGAACCTGATTTTGTCTTAACAGTGAAAATGTTGCCCTAAAAGTTCTACCTTGCAAAACTAGAAACTCAAATTCATTCCTTAAGCTTCTCCTATGTTTAATTGGAGTTTTGTGAATAAAACCTACCCAACTTCCATTCAACACCTCTCCTTTACAGATGCCTCATTACCCCTTGCAGACTATTGTATTCCGAAGGTTGACCATACATTATTAAGTAGCATTTCAAGCCTTTTGGCACTACGCTACCATCATAGGTTCTTAATTCACAAGTCATACATCAGCATCATCATTGGTCCACCATTTTGCTCTAGTAAAGGGCCATGCCATCACTGAGGCCATAAATCTCCATATATTCTCACTACTTCCAACCATATCCTATTGGGCCTACCCCTTGCCCTTTTTAAGCCTTTGACTTTAACCAACTCGCACCTCCCAACAAGTGTTGTATTAGGTCTGCACTACACATGGCTAGCCCACTTAAGTCTACTTTATCTCATCTTATCGCCTATTGGAGCCACACCTAAATTCTTCCGAATGTATTTATTTCAAATTCTATCCCTCCTTGTCTAGTCACCCATCCATCTCAGCATCCTCATATCAGCTGCACTCATCCTATGGGTATGTTGTTTCTTGAATGCCCAACATTCCGCCCCATAAAGCAAAGCCGGTCTCACAATTGTCCTATAGAACTTCCCCTTCAGCTTCATTGATATGCAACAATCACATAAAACTCTGGTTGCACATCTCCACTTTGCCCACCTAGCTCTAATTCTATATGTGACATCGTCCTCAATCTCTCTATTTTCTTGGATTATTGACCCAAGATATCGAAAGTGCACTCTTATTGGTATTTCTTGACCGTCAATCTTAACTACTTCCTCATCTCTACTCCTATTATTACTAAACTTGCATTCCATATACTCTACCTTAGTCCAGCTAATTTTAAAACCTTTATATTCTAAAGCATCCCCCAAAAGTTCTCACTTTGTGTTGAAGTTGCTTTGGGTCTCATCGATCAAAACTATGTCGTCGGCAAATAACATATACCACGGTACCTCATCTTATAAGTGCCTAGTTAAGTTGTCCATAATTAAGACAAAGAGGTATGGGCTCAACGCCAACCCCTGATATAAACCTATTGTCATTGAAAACTCACTCGTAGTTGTTTGTACACCAGTTAGCACTCTCTCATACATATCTCTTACCAAGTCGATATGGCATCTGGAGGCTCCTTTCTTTTCCAACACACATCAAATTAAATCTCGAGGTACTCTATCATGACTTTTCTCTAAATCAATAAAGACCATGTGGAGGTCTCTTCACTTTGCCCTAAACCTCTTAATCAGTTGCCTAAGTAGGCAAATAGCCTCAATTGTTGACCACCTTGGCATAAAACATAAATGGTTTTCTGATACTTATTTCATGCCTTAGTTGTTGCTCAATCACTCTCTCCCACAACTTCATAGTGTAGCCCATAAGTTTAATCCCTCAATAGTTCACACAATTTTGTATCTCCTTTGTTCTTGTAAATAGGTACTACAGCACTTTTCCTCCATTCGTCTGCCATTTTTTTTGTTTTCAACAACTTGTTGAACAACTTGGTCAGTCAGTCAATGCTAATCTCCCCCATGCACTTCCAAACCTCTATTGGGATACTAGTCTTAAAGTATTTCCTATCTTCATCTTCTTCAAAACTTCTTTCACTTCCAATATCATAATCCTACGAATGTATCTATAATTAATTGCTTTTTTCATCCATACAATAAGAATTCTGTCAAATTTATAGCCACTAGATAATGAAAGCTGCATTTTTCATCAAAATAAATATCACAATTATAAAACTTCATTTCTATAGAAAGAAGAATAAGTAATAAAGCAAATAAATTATCAAAAGAAGACTAGATATATAAGTAATATCTGAGCTCTTGAACAATGACTAAAAAATTCCAATACAACTAACTTACTTAAAGTTCCAATCATTTTTCCCATTTGGATCAGGTATACCCGCTGCATTAGTGCGATTGTAGCCAGGACTCCAGTTATCCTTAAATGTACTGAAACTTAACCCTGTGATATCAGCTGCAGTAAGGCACACAACCTACAAATACTTAGAAAACCAAACCCCGAGAATGCATGCAATTAATGATTAAAAAACACAAAATAAAAGAGGAAAACAATTAAACAAGAAAATGACAAGATGAACAAAAACAAATCACTCACGTGTAGCACCATGCCTTGGAGCAGCAAAGATTCCAATAAAGATGCAGAATAGTGAAAATAGAACAGGGATAAGAAAAGCAGGTGCAACCCTATTGATGATTTTCACACCACCAAATACAATAAAACACAAAAGAATGGTCACTACAACACCATATACTTGCAGATCATGCAAACTGGGACTGAGTATAGTTTCTTCAATTCTCCCTGCTGGTGAAGTGGCATTAATACTCGTTGCACTTTCTGCATTAAGAGTAGAAGAAAGAGGTTAAGAGGGCAATGAATAACTACTTGAAAAGACTTATAATCAGTTTCTAATGGGCAATAGTCACCAATAACAAGTATTCAGAAGTGAAAACCGGACGTGAAATTCCTTCTTTTTTTAATGCTTATAGCATTAATCATTTCTTATGTTGGACTGAAGACCTGTTTAAGTATAGAGCCAACAGGACATATTCAAAAGTACTAGTAACTTACATTTTGATCTGATTTAATAAAGAACAAATTACTATTGAATGTAATAGAATTTCAAGGAAATATTTATCTGAAGCTTTTCATGGGGAAGTTTGTCATTTTCCCTTAATAAATTATCTTTAACTGAGAATAAAGAACAGAAAAAAGAGTCTGAAACTAGTAATTACAATCATGACAATGGCAATGAATAAAATAAAGGCGACTTGAATCTGACCACATGAATTGGCTTTGCCAGACCATGCACATACGGCTGATTCATATTTCAATAAAT